TTCCATCTCAAATTGAGCTATTTTTTGCGTTTATGACATTAATTACATTGGTTGGTAAAGCGATTTCCGAATGAGAAATTGCACGCTGAGGCTGGCGAACTCATTCACAAGGTTTGTCCCATATATGACAAGAAAGGAATGCTGGGAGATATTGATGTATATATTGCTAAGACTAGTCGCGCTATTGTTAGAGAAAGAAAGGGTTTTGTCGAAGATTTAAAGAGGTATTACATTTAGTGTTAGAGCTGATGCAATTTTGTTTTAGATGGTTTTTTTTTATCTTAAATCGTCTTCTTTAATTAAATTTTCACCAGCATCCATCCTCCGAAGAAACAACAAGGAAGGGCCAAGAGTAAGACACACATGTCAAATGATTCTACCAACTGATTGCAGAGTTGATCATTCGGACCTTTCAATTCATAGGTGTAGATCTCGGACCTATGAATGGGGATATTCCACAAACCCACACAGAAAAAAGGAATCAATTGTATTTAATCGCTTCTTTATTTTTTCTTGTTCTCCAATCTTTTCTTTATTGAGTGGTCTTTAATTATTAGGTCGATGTGTTCAATAGCCAGTGGAAAAGGGATTATGTCCTCAGACCCTAAAAGGCAACATACTATTAGTAGCTAGCTGTTGCGCCAAATTGAAAAATGGGATTATTTGGTTTTTGTTCGAAGTTGGCATCTTATGTCCTTATATTATAGCTTTTATTTTTTGGCTTCGTAGAAGTGAGGATAATGACTTTAGATATAGGATTTGTACTAGAACGTCAATATTATCAAACCTTCTCTTACAAGCATTTCATTTGTATGTCTGGTAATACGTAATAGTAATATCTGATAATAATAGTAGAGTGATCCATTTTCGGCTTCAAACCTTCTTTTATCTGATAATACATAATAGTAATAGAGTGATCCATTTTTGGCTTCGTTGTTTTGTTGATCCATTTTTGTTCGCATGTGCATAGCTGTTGTTGTGTTTGGTCTGCAGATCGATTTCTGTTTTAGGTAAATCAGATTCAGCCTGCTGTTTTGGTCGTTCCTATTGCATTGAAACCGACATGTCTGCACCTGCAGTTGGAATTTTTAT